CTTCCAGGAATGAATTTGGAAGTATTGCTTCCCTTTCAATTTCATTGAAGAGTTTAAAGAGTAGTGGCAAGAGTTCTCTAAATGTCTTGCAGAATTCAGCAGTGAAGCCACTGGGACCTGGGCTTTTCTTTGTTGGTAAATTTTTAATTACATTTTCAATTTCAGTGTTTGAAATTTTGGTGGTTAGAATTTTTATATCTTCTTCATTCAACTTTGGTAATTCATATGTATCTAGAAATCTCTCCATTTCTTGAGTTTTTCATTTTATTAGAGTACAGGTTCTCCAAGTATGAATTGATGATCCTCTGGATTTCTGCTGGATCTGTTGTGACTTCACCTTTTTCTTTCCTAATTGCGTGAATTTGAGCCTTTTCTTGTTAAGGTTGACTAAGAGTTTATCGATTTTATTTATTTCGAAAAACCAACTCTTCGATTTTTTTGTATTGTTCTCTTAGTCTCCATTGCATTGATTTCTGCTCTGATCTTTATGATTTCCTCCCTTGTCTGAGCTTTGGGTTTGTCTTGCTCTTCTTTTTCTAGGAGCTTGAGTTTCACCATTAGGTTGTTTATTTGAGCTCACTCTTTTTCTAGTATGGACATTCAGTGCTATGAATTTCCCTCATAGAACTGCTTTCATTGTGTCCCATAGATTCCTGTATGTTGTAATGACATTATCATTTAATTGTAGAAGCTAATTTCTTCTTTAATTTCCTCTGTAACCCATTGGTTGTTCAAAAGGGTATTATCCAATTTCCATATGTTTGTGGAATTCTTGGAGTTTCTTATGCTATTGATCTCCAGTTTAATTGCACTATGGTCAGATAATATACAGGGGATAACTTCAATTCCTTTGCATTTATTTAAACATGTCCTATGAGCTAGCATGTGGTCTATTTTGGAGAATGACCCGTGTGCAGCCAAAAAGAATATATATTCTGATTTTGTGGAGTGGAACACTCTGTAGACATCTGTTAAGTCCATTTCTTCAAAAGCTTGGTTCAGTTCTAGTATTTCATTGTTAACTTTTTGTCTAGATGATCTACTTGTGACAGTGGGGTATTGAGACCCCCCACTACAATTGTATTTGTACTTAGTTGGTTTTCATGTCCATTTATATTTATTTTGTATAGTTGGGGGCATTAGTACTTCGTGCATATATATTTATGTCATCTGTTCCTCCTGGATTGTTCCCTTTACAAGAATGTAGTGACCATCTTTGTCTCTTAATTAGTTTTGTTTTAAAACTACTTTGTCTGCAAATAAGATAGCCACCCCTGCTTTTTTCCTGGTTCTTCTCACACGGAGAACTATTTTCCATCCTTTTACTTTCAGTCTATGTATTTCTTTTTGAACTAGATGCATTTCTTGTATGCAGCATATTGTTCTATTTTGCTTCTTAATCCATTCTGCCAGTCTGTTTCTTTTAATTGGTAAATTCAGGCCATTAACATTGCTGGTTATAACTGATAAGTATTGACTTAGCATTGTCATGTTATTTTCCTGTTGTTGGTTTTTATTTTTTATTTTTCCCCCCTCCCTTTAATTTCTTGCCTTGCCTGATGGATTTGCTTTGTTGGGCCTCATGGAGTTGTGACCTTCATTGTGTTTTTCTAGAATATTATTTAGAATTTTTTGGAGTCCTGGTTTGGTATTCATAAAGTTTCTCAGGTCTTCTTTTTCAGGGAAGTATCTTACTTCCCCATCAATTTTTTTTTTAAGGATTGAACTCAGGACCTTGAGTTTTCGAGGCAGGCATCGGAACCACTGAGCTAAATCCCTGGTCCTCCCCATCAATTTTGAAAGATAATTTTGCAGGATAAATCAGTCTAGGAGGTTGTTTTGAAATACCTCACTCCAGGCTCTTCTTGCCTTGAGGAATTGCATTGAGAAGTTTGCTGTGGTTCTGATGGGCTTTCCTTTGTATGTGATTTGTTTCTTTTCTGTAACTGCTTGTAATATTTTGTTCTTCTGTTGGGTTTCCGGCATCTTGATTATTATATGTCTAGGTGTAGATTTTTTTTTTGTCATGGCTAGTTGGAGTCCTATATAGCTCACTTACCTGTATGTCAAATTCTTTTGCTCTGTTTGGGAAGTTTTCTGTCATTAATTCTGTGAACAGTTTTTTATGTCATTTGTCCTTTCTCGTGATGTTTAGTGGACTCCTATCAGTTGTCATCTAGGAGCTGTTGGATTGATTTCTCATGGTCCCTTACTATTTTTAAGAGATCTCTCTTCTCATGGTCATCGACAACCATCCAGTCTTCTACATCTGATATTCTGTCTTAAGAGTGGCTCAGTCTGCTGAGAATACTTTCAATACAATTTTTAATCTCCTGGATATCTGTTTGGATCTGTTTCATGGATTCCATTTCCTGCCTATGTAGTGTCTCACGGTTTCCATTTCTTTCCTATGCTGGGCATTCATGGCTTCCATCATGGTCTTGAGCTCATCTATTTTTTTATCTGTTTCTGTTCTAGAGTCTCTAATCATGTCTTTCATTCTGCTCACCATCTCTGTGGTTATCTGGGAAATTATTTCTGTTTTGAATTCTTCTAGAGCCTCATTCATCTGTTTTGTTACTTCCTGTGCTATCAGTTCAGGGTGTCCAGGAGGTTGATTATCAGACTTTTCACCTCGTTTCCCACAGAATTTGCCTTTGGTGAACTGGAAGTCTGGGTTTGGACCTTGCTTAAATCTTTTCATTTCTATTTTTGTTGTTGGTACTGTTTTTGGTTTAATTCCTGGGTTTATACTTCGATACTGCTTATTGTAAGTATCTTTGTTGCTTGTATTTAGAACTCTTATGGAATGATTGCTTCTCAGAGTTGTCTTCCAGATATAACTGGTATTTAGGTTTTGAGTTTCTAATGACTCTTAGGCAATCTCGTTTTGAGTATACCAGGAAGGACAACTGATTAGATCAATCACAACACTTTAGCTCAAGTGATACAGTCAGCACCAACAATACCATCAACCACAGCTTAGGAAATGACAATTTGTGGTGGTTATTAATCTATCACCTTTAACTGTGTGAATTAAATAAAAATTGAAGACCAGCTCAAAATGTGTATAGTGAATAGTATATAGTTTCAATATATATATAGTCTTCAATATAGTTACAATACCCTTTGGGATGGAGACTTAGAAGAAGTTGAGGAGGGAGGGATAGATAGGTAAAAGGATAGGGAAAGGTTAGAAGTGAGGCCAGAGGACACAGAAAGATCACACAAACTGTAGGAAACTGTTGAAGACAAGTGAAAAAGACAGAATGAAAGAACAAAGACAAGAAGAGAACAACCTAATAGCAATAGGGAAGCTAGAAACTGTATTCAGTTTCCTTTAAAAGTAATGACAGTAGAGAGAAGGAGAAAGAGAGATGAAATGAAGAAGAAAGAAGAAATCAGAATTAGGGCAGGAATAGGAATAAAAAGGGAAATGAAGAACAAGGTGGGAGAGCAAGAGAATGAGAGATAAAGAAAAGAAAAAATAAAAAGAAAGAAAAATTTGAAAAGAGAAGAAAAAAATTATAAAATAAAAATTAAAATGAAAAGAAAATAATAATTTTGAAAATAAAAAAATATAAAAGAAGGGCCTCCTTCAGGGTATATTTCTGGTGTCACAATAGACAATGTAGGCAGCAATGTGCAGATCTAAGTCAGTTAGTTTGAGCAAGCCAGCCGCAGTCCCCTTAGATTCAGGCTGATTTCTGGCTATAAGGCCCAAGTTGAGTTCCCTGACCACCTGCAGGGTTGAACTCTGCAAGGTTCTACTGCAGGTTCCAGCTGCCCTTCCCCTGAAGATAGTCCAGGTTCCAAAGGGAGTTGGTGATCCCTCCAACTTACCAACTATGGTGATCTGGTGTGCCTTTATTGCAGAGATTTTCTTCACGATTCCATTGGGCTTCAATTCTCATCAAAGAGCCTAAGAGATGCCCCCTTTCTATTGTTCACTTCTCCTCTATCTTCTGGAGCTCAGAACAATGGCCTTTATGACCCCCTGTGCCTCTTCAGTGTCAATCCAGTACTTTGCAGACCGGTGGCCAGTGGCAACAGTGGGGGGGGTGTACTAGGGGATGCTCCACTCCTTAAGGCCCGGGTTGGGGGGATGCTAATGGCATCCTCCCCAGCTCAGCTCCACACAGCTCAGCTCTACACAGCTGAGCTCCATGCTGCTCCACTCCTTCCTCCTATAGTTTTCTTTTTTGAGTCCTTGTCTGGTTTTGGTTCATGACAGTGCTAGTTTCCAGGAAAGAGTTTGGCAGTACTCCTTCCCTTTATATATCATCAAAGAGTTTGAGAGGTCCTCATGCTATGACTCTCCTGAAGTTATAGAATTCTGTGGTGAATCCACTGGGTCCTGGGTACATTTTTTATTACTGCCTCAAGTTTTATTACTTGCTATGGGACTTTTCACAGTTTTAATATCTTCTTGGTTCAGTTTTTGTAATTGATATATATTTAGGAATCTATCCATTTCTTCCAGATTCTCCAGCTTATTGAAGTACATATTTTTGAAGTAGTTACTTGTAATCTTCTGGGTTTTGGTGGTGTCTGTTGTGATTTCACCATTTTCATTTTAATTATATTAATATGTATCTTTGATTCCTTATCTGGATAAGTTAAACCAAGTCAAAATTATAAAATATTATGTTAGTAGTTTCCTCAGAGTGGCCTGTGACATTTGTATTTTTCTTGTGAGATGAAAAGTATCTTCTCTTAAGAAGCAGAACAAGTAATATATTTCTATTATAGTCTCATTTGACCTCATAAGAAGTCAGAGCACAGCATGAAAAACTAAGCCAGAACTCAATAGAAGAATCAAAGGGTCTTTTCTAATTGGGCTATTGCAATAATTTAGCAAAGATAGAGGGGTAGCTTGGAATTGAGTGGTAGCAGTAGTAGTCGGCAAAATGTTTGGATTTGGAATATGCTTTGAAGGCAGAAGAAACCATCTAGAAAACTGCTAACTATGCCTGTCCTCTAATTTATTCTCTTCTTAGTTTCGCTATTCAAATTGGCTGGACAGGTTATACATGGTGCTGGGAACTCTGGCTAGTATTATCCATGGAGCTGCGCTCCCTCTCATGATGCTGGTGTTTGGGGACATGACGGACAGCTTTGCAAATGCAGGAAGCAATAGTCAAAGTAAGTATTGCTTGTTGTACTTTTATTAGAAGCATGCAGGAAAACACTTAGGAAGATATCACTGAATGGACACTATTGTGTTTAGTGCTCTGGGAGGTAGAGGGCATGAGTGTGGCTTATGCTTGTCATGAATTTGAAAAGAGAGTACTCACAAGCAATAGAATCCCCAGTAGAAGTACTGAGAGAGATATATAGAAAAGGAGAGAGCTCTGTGATGTCAGAAACACCGTGAAAGGGCTGGGGATTTAGCTCAGGGGCTCTGCCGCTTGCCTTGCAAGTGCAAGGACCCGAGTTCGATCCCTGGTACCAAAAAAAAAAGAAACACCGTGAAAAGCTTCAGAAGGAGATAAAAATCAATCAGGACTTTGTGAGAAATATTTACAAGATTCCTTGACAGATTGGATGTGAGTATATGAAAAGGATCCAGGATGATTCCATAGTTTTAGCCTGAGAAACTAGATAGGTTGGTATTACTATCAACTGAGATAAGAAAAATGAAAGGAAATTTGGTCTGGGCAGAGAATATCAGCAATTCAGTTTTGGATATTGTCATGGATTAGGCAGGAAGGGAGAAATGAGTCTAAGGGAAGGGTGTGATTGTGTGTGTGTGTGTGTGTGTGTGTATTTTAGGGTAGAAGAAATCATGTGTTTATTAATTGAAATAACTCAGAAGAGAGGAGAAAGTAATAAATGATGTTTGAACAGAAAGGGAAAAATCTTGTTAGATTTATGTCCTTGAGGAAGGATGAATCCATTGCCCAGGAGGAAGTGTTTGCTTTAGATAGGAGCAAGGGCAGTTCCTGTAAAATAACAAATGGGAAGAGGGTTTGAGTGTCAGAGTCCAAAGCTACATAGATGAGGAGATGAGAATCTGGAAGTTTAGTTTTGATGATAGTCATTTTCACTTACCTGCAAAGAATATATTTCAAGACCCTCAGGCTGTACCTGAAGCTATGGATGATACTGAACTCTATTTATACTGTATTTTTCCTTTATATGCATATCAATGACAAAGTTTAATGTATAATATAAATAGTGCACAGTGAGATTAACAACAATAATTAGTAATAAAATAACACCAACGTAATAACATACTCCAGTAAAAGTTGTGTGAACATCTACTTGCACATGATCTCTCTTTAACTCATAATGTCATATAGTATTGTCTTCACCAAGCTGTAGTGATGTGAGACCATACAATGCCATGATTGACAGCAAGAAACTGAAACCATGGAGAGAGAAACTGTGGGAGTGTAGGTAATACTGTACTTCAGTTTTCTCAGTAATGTGGGAAGCAAGCATTTGGCTGATGAAGGAGAGGTAAAACAGCTATCTAAGGTTGAAAAGTGAATATACTATTTAACAATTTGTGTGTAACACACATACTCTCAATTGGGGATGGGGGAGATAGATTAATGGCTTTGAGCTTAAATCTTCAGGACACCTCTAGTCAAGACTAGATTGACAAAGGCCTACAAGTCAGTTTGCACTTAGGTGTTAAAAATGTTAAAAACGCAGAAACTGCCTGTTTGAAAATACCCTTGAAAATATACCAATAGCTTGCAATAACACTTCACCTTTTGGACTTTTAAGTCTCTCCTGATTGCTATGAATCTTTCCCCCCGGAATCGTGCACATTAATATTCCTATCAATTTGAGGTGTATATAGAACACTTGATAATTGTCTATGGGTCTTGGGAACTACAGAATACATTGTTTACTCTGAGTAGAACTACTTCAATTTTGTGAATTGGGTCAGAGAGTAAGGCCAGCAAAATATATAATATGCTTTAGCTATGTAAAATTCTTACGCATTTATTACCTCCCTTCATGATATTCGAAGGCACCTGCAGAAAGATGTTGTATTGCCTTTGACTGGCATCTTTTATACCATGCACAAAAGGAGGTCCTCAGTGTCTTCTAAATTCACTATTTCCTATATACCATGTACTGGGCACCATTGTACAGAGTTAGCTCTCTTCCTGGTTTATAGTGGAATCAGTGGATCTTTCAGTGCTCCCTGATAGATCAGCAGACCTAATGTGCACATTTCTCCCCATTCTAATCCTACCCACTTTGTCATGAATACAAACACAAACATTGTGCTAAGACTGTCAGAAGTATTATAATGATGACCATGATGTGCTTCTGAATACACCACATAAGACACAGCTGCTGATCTTACCTATCAGTAAGAAAATTGTTGGTTATTAAAACAGCTGTTTAATGTTGACCCATCTGGGAAAAGCAAACCATCTATGGTTCTGTTTAGCTAAGAGAGCTAAATTCTGATCAACCACAGTAATTTAAGCTTGTATCATATCCACTGTTGTTTTTTAATACTAGCATTAAAATTTGTATTAGAGTTTATGCCCATCACACAGACATAAATTGGCTTTTCTTCTTAAAAAGAAACAAGTACTGTCTAAGTCAAGGTAGCAGTCATGGCCAGGTTTATCCAGAACACCTACAGCTGTGTGAGGACAGGCAGTGCTCTAGTCTAAAAGTTTGTGTCCTCCAAAATCCCTGTTTGAACTCTTAACCCCTAATGTGACTGTATTTGGAGATGGTGCCTTTGGCAGATGATGAGGTTGTGATGGTAGATATAAATATGACTAGTAACCTTAAACTTGCTAACTGGCCCCTTCTGCCATATGAGAATACAGGTAGAAGATGGCATCTGTGAACCAGAAGGCAGACTCTACCCAGACACCAAATCGGTCTTGATCTTCGGCTCCCAGTGTCAAGAAATGTTTATATGCTAGTATTTTGTTATACCAGCCCAAATGGTATAAAGATGGATAGTAATCTGACTTCATGGCAACTTAATGGCATGAGTTTCCAAAGAGGTAAACAATTTGTTGTAGACCAGCATTTCCCTTTTTTTGGTATTGGGGATCGAACTCGGGACCTTGTGCTTGTAAGGCAGGTGGTAGCACCACTGAGCTAAATCCCCGGCCCAGGCCAGCATTTCCTTAGTAATTAGATCACCAGCTTTCACCTTTCAGGGAAAGTAGGCACCCTCAGGTGATGGTGCACAGGTCCCATTTGGGCCTCTGCTTCATTTTTTACAGCGTGTGAGCCAAGCATGGTTTGCATAGTTTTAAATCCCTGCCGAAATCAAAAGAAGACATATTTTGAGACACATGCTAATGGTATGAAATTCAGTTCTCAGTGTCTAAAAGTAAAGTTTTAACAGAACAGCTACAGTTTTCACTCCCATGTTGTCTGTGGCTGCTTTCATACCACAGAGACAGAGTAGAGCAGTTGTGACAGCGACCACGTGGTCTGCACAGCCTAAAATACTGACTGTGTGGTGCTTTATAGAGAAAGATGCTGATCTCTGAAGTAGGGTATGGAGTAGAGTCATTATCTTCAATCAGTCTATCAAGGAATTTGTATTAAAGCCACAGTACCTCTATTCACTGTCAAACCTCAAGATTCTTAATGTCGTAGAAAGGACAGAGAAGGCAATCAGCAGATGTATTTGTGTATGACTAGTGCAGTGTTGTAGAGGTATGCAGAATGCTTTGAGAAAGGAGAGGAAGGGCTCTGAGTTTGTGATTCTGGTCCCAGAGATGAGGGCAAACTCTGTGAAGCTTCTGGAGACAAAAACAGCATACTGAGCTGTTGGAACCCTGGATACTCTCAGATCTTTCTTCTTTTTGCACATGCAAGGCAGAACCTCTTTACCTCTCCGTGGGCTGGAGTAGACACCAGGACCTCCTTGTTGGAGTGGTATTCTTTGGTTTAGCTATCCTTAGCTTTGCCAAGTCTCTTGAGGGCCTGAGTGCCTCACATTAGACCCTGGATCTAACCAAACTGCTCTACAAAGACATATGGGCCTGTCTTCTCTCTAGCTGAAAAAGACCCCTGTGAGTTTTGTCTTCTCCTGATGCTTTGCTGGATTATCAAACATAAGTTTCCATCCTGCTATTTCATTGTGGGTCTGACTTCCTGAGACCCTGCTCCCATCTTTCTCTAGCTAGCTGGTAGTCAAAATTTATGCAGACTTTGCCTAAACATCTCAAAAATGGGGCCTAAGAAATTCTTCATACCTGCTGTATCATTTTTGTGGACAAAGCCTGACTACTGAAGAATTTCTGCAATGTTCTGTGAATTTACATCTTCTTAGACCTGGCCATTGCCTGGATGTGGTCTACATAATGGGCCATTGTACTTTCAGATGTCTTGTATTGAAGGTGAAAGGCCAGGACAGAGGGCCACTAGTGTAAGTGAAATTGGGGTAGTCCCAGAAGTGACATCGAGTGTTGGCATAACAAATAGGGTTAGAAACGTCTCAGTATTTGAGGTGAAGGTGATGTTAAACCGCTTTAGGGTATAGGAATGGGACCCTAAGCCTCAAGGGAGGACTCAGTTGTTGACAGTAACTACAGGAAACAGTTTTTAGCATTTAGTATGTGCTATATACTATTCTTAGTGCTTTACTTACATTGACTCCTTTAATCTCTTCATGTGCAGGAGTTTGATACTATATATACCGAGGAAAATGGAACCCCAAGAGATTTAAGTCACCTGAGGTTACACAGTAAGCAGCAGAGTTAGGATTTAAGTATTAGACTGGTACTGAGTCCAGGCATGGAAGGAAATAGAGAGGTAGAGAAGAAGAGACTGAGGATAACATACTAACTCAAAAATTAAGGACCTGAGGAGATTTTCCATGTCTCATAGGGGTTAGTACCCAAAGGTATTTTTTTTTAACTTAAATTCTTTTATTGGTACATTGTAGGTATACAACACATTTACATTTCTCATTGGGAATTGTACCTTTACATGATGCATCTTGGTTCTTCTTCTTTCCCCATTCCTAGCCCTC